AACAACTAAATCTCTGACATCAGTGAAAATCTCTGGTACACCCAAATCAACATCAGTCAGTCATTTAACAACTTCCATTCTTCCCTTTTTAAGTTCTACTGTCAGTGTGACATCGTCTACAACTCCTCAGTGTGAGGACTGTAAAAGAGACTGTATCGGGGGTATCTGCAAATTCAACTCAACAGTTGGAGAATGTCAGTGCGACTGTTTTGGTTTTATCACTGGAGACACGTGCTCTTTTGGAACGAATGATACCCCTGCTCATGTTGGTGAGGTTCTTCATATACAATAACAGTTCTTCAAAATATTCTGTCAACTGAAGTAAAATTGAATGCAGAGATAATTTAAAAAGTTTTTGGAATATCTTGTTGTTGTCGTGTTTGATTTTGGCATTGATATTTTCTACTTCAGTGTTTAATGTAAAATGTTACTTTTATTGCAATGTCTATAATGTTTTTGTAATGTCATCATTTCTTGCAGATATGGGAGCAATACCAAATCACAAAGCAAACATTACTTTCAAAATCAACGTTACTTTTCAGGTGGCCTTTAACAATCTAAACTCACCTCAGTCATTAGACTTCATCAACACATTAGAAAAGGAGGTAAATATGTTTTTTTCATGTTGCATGACAATGATTAGTATATAATATTTATTGGTGTTTACTCAAGTCTTATACCTTATTACTTTTTACTGGGCAATAATTACAATAACTCACACTTTGAACAGATACTTTTTTATGTTAATTTCCCAAAACTGTATTTATTGTTATGACATTGTTATAATAACATTTCTTATGTGTTGTAGCTTGAAGCCCTGTGCAGAGAAGCAGATCCACAAACCTTCAAAAAAGTTAAAGTCATCAACTTATCGTAGGTTTTCCATTGAATTTTAATGATGACATTATTTAAATAACTCTTTTTAATCAAGTACAAGCTGTTTTCTTTTGGTAATATCTTTTTATTTTTCTACTGCAGACCAGGAAGTGTTGTTGCAGAGAGCCAGGCAGAGTACATTTATCCAAACAATGAAACACAAATCCAGTTTGTGAACATTAAGCTTGATGGGGTGTTGACTGATATCTTGATTAATACAAGTAACCTCAAGAAGATTTCTCAGGCCTTTAATAATTCAACCGTGCTGTTAAATGGACTCACCTTCCAGAAACCTGAGATTAAAGGTAAATGTCAGCTCTACCATGTGGATTTGACTTGTTACTGTTTTGGACAGTCTATGTTTCTTTATTCAATATATGTATGTCAACGTATCTATATTTGTATTGTGGTACTTGTGCAAAGTAATAAATATGAATGTGTTTCTTTATTTTTTCTATCAACTAGATATCCAAGAACTTGCACCTTTTATAAATTGCTCTCAGTTCGCTAATTACACAGCTGAAATAATTAATGGTCAATGGCAGTGTGCTGGACCCTGCAAAACAAACCCTGATTACTGTCATCAACATGGAGAATGTCAAAACAACATCGAGAAAGGGCCAACCTGTCTGTAAGCGAACACATTTGTTTTTAGTTTATTTGCAAGGAGCTTAAATTTATCTTATGATTTTGCTGGTCATGGTAATTTAACTAACTTTCTTCTTGTGGTCCTTCAATCCAGGTGCTTCAACTCAAGCCGCGGGCAGTTTTTTGGCACACGATGTGAATTCTTCCGTCCTGCTCCAAGCATAACTCAGGTCCCATTGACTAGCCAGGAAATATCTACAAAAATTACATCCTCAGCAACAACGCAACAACCTACATCTCCTACTACGATGAATACCACAACAAAAACTGAATTTCCTTCCTCAGCCTCAACGCTCACCACAAATGGCAACACAGAAACTACCAAAAGTAAACATTCCACAACAACAATCAATTCCACCACAAAAACAGAGGTCACATCAAATACACCACCCACATTGCCTACAAACACTACTCACTCCACTCAGACATCAACTAAACACGAAACTGAAACAACAACGACAACAACCAGCAAAACTCATCTCTCAATGACTAGCCAGGAAACATCTACAACAATGAGGTCCTCGTCGACAACGCAACAACCTACATTTCCTACGACAATAAAACCCACAAACACTGAATTACCTTCCTCAGCCTCAACTCTC